GACTTTCGCTGCACCGACCTCACTCCGCCCAAGGAATCTTTCAAAAGTTAAAAGTAAAACAAGCAGATTCCAGACGAGATCAGGTCCGGTGATTGAACAATCATTTCATGTGCTGTCTCTTGCGTACCACCTCCGTGTTGCTCCGATATTCGATACGCAATAGATTTCATTGGGCTTTTTTCAGTAACAGCCCGATTGACCATCTTTAAGGCCCGATGCGGTCCCTTTTGGGTGTCCGTGTTAGCAGCAGTATCTACTGTAAAACGCACGCCAGTAGACAGAAGAACCCAAGGAGGTGAGCACTGCTTATACCGTGGAATCCGTCGGAAAAGGCATTTCAATTGGTACTTTTCATGACGCATTCGACCTCACTTCTTCGTTGGCTAGGTCACATGGACTAATTCCCCTGTATGCAGTCAGAAGCCAGTTGTTTTTAGAAAGCTTCTTCTGGTTGTGCAACTTCCTTCTTGGCTCGCAGTTGGCCTCGACAGGTTAACCGTTTTACATTATTAGTCACTCCATGCTGTCACTGCCTTTACTTTTTTTGAAGCGCTATATATTACTCATATTTTCTAATCTCGTCCTTTCTCTGCGTTTACCGTAATAGTATTCGGGCATGCATGCCCCACCGTTCTCTCTCTCTCTCTCATTAATCGCTATACCTGAGCATATTTTTATATTGAAAGTGTTACTTGCGTGAACCTTCAGCGGCAGCCTGTGCGAAAAGTTCTATCGGCTAATTAATTTACATCTAATTTACTCTGCGTTAAATGACCCTTTATGTTAACTTCACTATGGTCACTACCACTCGACACAAACAGGCAAATCTTTACGCTCCTCCAAAGAGGAACGTCGAAGTTGTAATAAAGCGGTTTGTTTACTTGTCTGTGGTTGTGCTGACGTAATGAGAAGCCAGTTTTTGCAGAATTTGTGCGTGTACCTATCTCGCTAAGCATTCTATAAAACCCTATTCCCTCCTCAGTCTCCGATATTACCAATTGTAATCTTAATTCGAGATATTTTACCCTACACAGTAAAGAAAACTGGAATTTACATTTGGCATATATACTTTCCAGTGTTAATACCGCTGCATCTAAGTTGCTGCTGTATGACTAGCCAAATTGGTGCAGTTTCGATTTTCGATACCTCTGGCACACGATCGTACCTCGATCGATTTTACACCGTCTCTTTCTTCTTTTTCTTTTCTAGTCAACGGCAGTTGGATATTCAGCAATTGGATGACAACCAGCGCCAACGCGTGGAAGAATTTCTCGCCGGAAAGCAAATAATTGACGAACTGCGTCCAGAGGATTTCAAAAAGCTCAGCGAACTGGGTGCGGGGAACTGGGGCGTTGTAAGTCGTGTGCGTCATCTGACCACAGGTCTGATCATGGCTAAAAAGACAATTCGGTTGGATATTAAGCACGAGGTCCGCACGCAGATTATTCGCGAGTTAGAGGCAAGTTCTTTTTCAGCCGATTTCCTCTTTGTTTTACCTCCATATCAAAAAAGTACTAGAAGCGCATACACTAGCTCCTTCTTCTCGTACCCTGCTCGCTGTTGTATGATAATGAGTTGTCATTCCTTAGTAGACTACCACATCCTACTCGATACTTTCTTGTTTGTCTCCCGGGGCTTCTGTTTAGATGGGGAGATATCAACATCCGCAATGAAATTCGCACTTACAGAGCAACCATTGAAGTTGTTACATGATTTATCATACTGACAGGACAGTTAATAGCTTAAAGTTCAGACACGCGCTTCATCGATATTCTGCCGTTTAATTATACAGTTGCTTGACTCATCTGTGGATCCCTCAGTGCTCCCGGTGTGCTTTCTGATAGATACTCCAATTTTTTAATGTCAGTCTTTTAATTCGCTCAAATTACCGACCTACTTACAGTGAATCATTCGGTAGGCCCAATTCCAAAATCGACAAGAATATTTGAGCCGAAATGCATCAGTTTTGCACGATAACAAATATATTGTGCATTAACTGCAAATAGACAGCCAAGAGCATACACATGTTGCATGATTTACCACGCTGACAGCAGAGGTACCGAATGACAATTCGATCGACGAGGCCCGTCGCGTGCTGCACAGTAGGGTGGTGCAGGGATGGTGACTTGTGCTATATTGCAGTGAGAGTAGATTTGCACTATATCTACTTCACTCGGCGCTCCACTCCCTCTGCTGGGTCCGGTGTCACGAGCAACTCAGGATGACCGAAGGCGGAAGAGGGTGCGAGTGACTGGCTTGGCCCGAGTTGCTCTTAAGCGTGCCGCCACACCTGTCTCGGATCC